CTCCTAATTGTATCGTGAGTGTCTCCCGGGTTTTTCTTCCTCTGTTTTATGTTCTGCTAATTTAAGTCCCATTGAGTCCAGCCATTCGGCGATTATTCGTATTGTGGTCATTGCAGCTTCCTTTATTTGGTGTACATATACATATGTAGGTAGAATAGAAAGTGTAAAAATTACTTAATTCATGCCATAAAACACAGCTTTGGTAACAATACTTACATTTATTTATGTACCAGTAGACATTTAATTATTATTTAATTGCATAAAATTAAAAATTCAATTTGAAAATGGACCAGCACTGTCCCAATTCTAGCTACTCTCGCGATAAGCCGCTGGCATACAACTAGCTAGTTTAACTCCAGCCCTACATACAAACATACATATGTATGTTTGTACATACACATTCATACTTCTGAAGATAAAAAAAAACGCTGATAGCTTGCAATTTTTGTAAATATTTTGAACTTGAAGCAAAAAAATCGGCAAACAACAATATAGAGCAAGGTTTTCCATCTTAACCGCTTCTATATTATTGTTCTCTGCTTTCATTTTAAAATTGAGATAATTCATTTGTTAATTTCTTATCAATAGTCGAGTAAATTCCTAGCACATTTATTTCTCAATTGCGCTCATGAACAGTGAAGCAGCATATTAAAAGGAATTAGTGCGCCGGGACCACAAGGGGTTGAGGGGTTTTAAATTGATCGAATCGCATATCAAGAAATCAATTTTATTTGTGATTTTATTCGCTGATCAATTCAGATATAAAATGCATTTCGTTATTTCCTTCGCTGAAACGAGATTAGGTAAGATGATGTGAATCCAGGTGAAATGAGTTAACGTGAGTTAAAGTGAATATATGTAGGTGAGTAACGGTGAGTTGGGTTGAGGTGAGGTAAGTAAAGGTGAAGTGAGATGAGTTGGGTTGTGAGTTGAGGTGAGTTCAGTTCAGTTCAGTTGGTGTGAGTTAAAGTGAGTTGAGGTGAGTTGAGATGCATACCCACCATGCAAAACATGAGAAATAGGCAACAATCGTCAATGGCAACAAATTGGCGACTCACCGATTTATTGCTGTGGTGACAAATCGGCAACATCACTTCGTTCATGTCAATTTTGAATAAAAAAGTTCTCAAAAATTCCGAAACTTATGAATATGGCGTCAATAGTATTGGCCAAAAGCGTCTAAATTATGCCCAAGGACAAGATTGAAAAAATAGGAAGTCTCACAGCGAGAAAATGAATTAATTCCGATTGTAAGTTGCAATTTGGTATACAAAAAAATAAATGAGGTATTAAAAAGAATATAATTATACCAAATATCGCCTGAAGCGATAAGAAAAGGACTCATTCAGGTAATAAGAAAACGACTCGCCCAGGCGAGTTGCCTTCGGCGGACGTTTTAGAGCGACCGGTAATAGGAAATCGATTCGATGGCAATATTACCGGCAATAAATTTGTTTCCGAGGGCGACACGTTTTCTTATTACCGGCAACACAAATTGTTTGGTGGGTAGGATGAAATGAAGTGAGTTAAGTTGAGATGAGTTGAGTTGAGTTTATGTGAAATGAGATGAGCAATATAATGGGCTTCATGCATACAAAGTAAGCTTACCCTGGCATAAGTAATTGTCTCTTCTGAAGTCACTAAATTTTAGACTAGCAATTAGTGACTTGAGATGATTTGGGCATTCAGTAGGATAGTCACAAAAAATTCACCAAAAATGTGTGGTGAAAACAAAAGCATACAGTCGACTGATAGCATTTGTGTATGCCTTTCGCTGGCGCCGCTACCAGAGTGGCGATGGCCGAGTGGTCAAAGCATTAGACTGTCGCTCAAGAGATCCGGGTTCGAGTCCTCAAGCACGGGGAATTTTTTTTACTTATTTTGTATTTTTTTTTTTTGTATTTTTTTCAGTTTGTGTTAGTTTTATCTTTTTTATATAATCTTTAGATTTTAGTTTTCAACAAAAATTTTCTTTCAATAAATTTTTATGATAGTGAAGAAAAAATATTTCGCTTCACTTTCGCGTTTTTTAAATAAAACAGAAAGCTATTATCTTTTCCTCCATAGTTTTCTTTCTTGTGACCAAATCAGAGTCAGCTGACAAATTAGTGACTTTTCTGAGACTAGAGACGCGAGACAGCTTACTGAATACCAAATAGTCTCAAAATTCATATTTACCACGAAAAAACACTATTATTTAGTAACTAGAGACTGCTTACTGAATCCCAGAGTTAATCTCCGACTCGATTTCCAGGGCAAATTTTTTAGCTGGACCCCAATTTACAAGTGCAAAAATTGAGTCAGAGAGTCATTTCATTTCATTTATTATAAAAGGTAACATTAGCATAACTGTAACTTAAGATTAAATTTCTATAGCTAAACGTCAAAAATAATACCTAGCTAGTCACCCTTAATTGCCATTTAATCTTATTTAGCAGTGGATACCTACAGTTGGTGTCGTTGCTGTTATTTACACAGAAATGTTCATACGTCAACGTTAATCGTTAACATAAAATGTTTTTACTATGTACACACACACGTATTCTTACATCCACGTTTACTAGACTACATACAAATGTACGTGTAAATATATGTATATTCAAGGATAATAAAATACATACATACGTACATACCTTTGTAAACAATGTATGTAGTAAATTCAAAATACTTATTTGAAGCAAGTAACCCCAAAGGACTTTAAAATGCTCTTTTTTTTGAAGAGACATTCTTACAACCATGTAAACGTGTAATATGTACCTATGTATCTATCTATCATGCATATGTATGCTGTTAATTATGATTCATAATTTGCGAATAAGCAAATATACATAGTATGTGCAATGTACATTGTACATACATATATAAATATTTATTGTTTAATACATTTTGACCCCTAACTACTAACTAACCATTCACAAGAAGTTCATATTGCCCAGCAGCAGCACTGGACAGCAGACAGGTAGAAATGTATGGGTGTACGGGTATGTGTGCTTTTGCAAGCCTACAACAGAAAGTCTGTGCATATCTTCTTTAATTTAAACGCCAACGACTAACAACAAACGAATATTTGAAGTTAATGCCCTCAGAAAAATTGACAACGCATACTAACACCGAACGACTGAGCGAGCCCCCTCTCACCTTGCCAAAACAAACTCATGGCAAAAACAATGACCTAAGTGAATGCGCGCTAACGCTAGTCTGTATACATACATACATATGTATGTATATGAAATGTATATTTGTGTATACAAACAAACATTTAAGAGCTAATGCTATACACACGTGTATATATGTATGTATGTTTGTACAAATGTATATATTCTTGTAGGTAAAACAAGCAACAAAATGTCTAAATTTTTATTAGCAAAAATTAATGAACTGTTTCATTGCCTTTGCTATGATGTCAAACGAGAGCGATAACAACACATATACATATGTATATGTATCTGTACATATGTATGTATTTACGTATTGCTAAAGCCACGGCCAAGATGACGACGTCGTTGTCATGCTCACTCTCTGTTTTACTTACTACTGTCTGTTAAGTCAACAGCGGCTAGAGAAGGTACATAAGTAGCTCTGTGTGTTATCACAAGAGGAGGTGAGGTATGAAAAAATTTACATACTTTGTAACGGCATGCAAAGTTAGATGAGCACCAAAAATAAAAAAGGCGAAGGACATAAAATGTCATTAATGGTGTATAACTGCAAGTCGCTGTTAACAGCCCGCAACTTAAAGTAAATCAATTTTTATTAAAGAAATAAGACAATTAATCACTAAAGCATGCGACTTGCGAATCAATTTCAATTTGAATATTTTATTTTATTTTTTATTTCTTTCAACCTATTTGGCTATGTTGCGCCATTCTATCCCAAAAGCACCTCTAACAGCACGCTAATTTACAGCGAAATACTTTTTGATACAGAGCACTTAAAATGCATGCACACACAGTGTACATTTGTACATACATATGTATGGAGTGTATGTTCAGTCGAATTTAATAATCATGCACATTTACATTTCTGTAAATTTCTTTGTCTTCTGGTGTGACCCTTCATTTATGTTAATCGATTTAAGTTGGAATTTATATGTAGGTGCCTTTACAATTAATATTGCACTACATCAAATTTGAGTAAATCAGCTCAGCGCCCTTATATGGTGTGTGTGTGTACGTGCACACGCTCTTTGTCCTCACTTCAACCTCCTACTCTTTAGTAGCTTAATTTTGCTTACCACTCGTCTTATACCGCACGTATCCCCTCTATTATAAATACCGTCAGTAGATGTGTTTGTATGGATGTCATAGAACTTGTTTAATTGTAGTACAACACGCTGCGCTTAATGTTTTTAATTGTTTTTTGTTTTCTTTTTTTCGGTCAGTGTCTTTGCTCTGCTTCTTCCTTCCTAGTGCCTAGCCTATACATACATATGTAAGTAAGTATGTACATACAGCCCCGAACAGTCCATATGCATTTGCGCTTATTCAATGCTCTAATCGCCTATCAACGCGATTTCATATCAAAATTTTGTATAGTCGTTGGCTTGTCACAATGCTTAAAGCAGCGGTTATCCACAACTCACCAACCGTATATGAGGATGGTGACGTTATTGTAGAGAAGGGCACACATTGCGGCAGAAAAGAGGGAATTTTCGCTGATGTACTCAATGCTTGGCTTGGCTGCTTGTGGCGTCTGGATTATTGGGGCTGTTACTACTAACAAACCCACCAGCCAACCAACCAACCGACCGACCTCATCCGACGTACGTACAACAGTTGCAAGGTGAGTACACGCTCTCGCGCTCTTTTGCGGTCGACTGCTTGCTTATCTGCTGGTTTGCCTTCGGTGCCTTCACTACACATCAAATCAACATGTGTACAAACAGAGAAATGCATATTAAAAAAAGAAAAACCTATTCACATTTGTATTCCAACAGCATGGTTGGCCTTCCCCCAAACTCTGTGTCTGCGACACATTGCACATCGCATTTCGTATGCCTCTGTTGTCAAGCTGTTAACGCTGTTAATACGCTGCTAATGCGCTGTATGAAATTCAGCTTGCTGCTGCTGGCTGTCTGTCAATTGAATTCAGTCGGTTTGCCACAATCAGCCGAACCAAACGGGCATCTGACGGCCAGGCTACAGTTCAGTTCACTGTGAACGTGAGAACCGTGTGGACGTGCTATAAAATAAACGCGGAACGTTTGCTCACAAACATCAAACGGCAACTAACTAAATAGCAAGCAAGCTTTGGCTGCTATCTTTCTACCTACAAACATACAAAAGCAACACGACGGGCAAGTAAACCCAAAAGAGACTCTCACTTACATGAAAACAGCAAAGCAGAAGAAGAGCCCCACACACAGATGCTCACAACAGCAGTGGAAACAGTAGAACAACAATAAAAATAACAGCAACAAGCGTGTATTACACAAATGTGCTAAGTTACATACTTACATATGTACATAGTGAACGGTAGTAGTAATGGCAACAGCTGAACTGAAACTGAATAACATAATCGCAATTAATTAATTTCGTGTTAATAACCAGCGCAACAAGATAAGAAGAAAATTGTATATTAAACAATTATTGAATAATTGCATAAATTGTGGTGTAAATTTGTAAAAAGAAATTTTGTGTGGAAAGTCTTTTTAAGAATTATGTATTAAAGTATTTAAGACAAATACCTATGCAATTTTTTGAAAGTTGAAAAGTGATTAAGGAAGCATTAAAAATTAGTAAAGCCAATGTGAAAATTCGGAAAAATTAATAAATTTATTAAAAAAAATTAAAGCAAATTTAAAATATTTTAACAAATAAAAATCGCATGAGAAATTGGTAGCTGATACGCTTTAGTGATTTGTGCAGAACTTTTTAATTATTTCGTGTGACTATGTTTAGAAATTCGGTGCAATTGTTTGTGTGAAATGAATGGGCACATATTAACAGCAATTAAAAGAGATTCAATTTACAATAAAAAATTTTTGATATTAACAAATCAATTAAATTTTAAATAAATCAAACATTTGCAAGACATAAAATAATAAAGGCGTGAAAATTCAAAAGGCCGTGGATTATTTTGAAATTTTCAACGACTTAAATGATTTTATGAAAGCAAATTAATAAAACACAATTCTAAAGAAATTAAAGAAAGGACGAATTATTAAAAAATTAGCAATTATAAAACATTTTTAACAAGGTGCAATAAACAGCAATTTGTTTTATGAAACACATGTGTAAATTTCAATAAAAAATAAATTTTGAAGCAACTTACAACAAAGCCTTTACAAAGAATTTTATTGCAATCGAAGTGCGTGTGTGTGTGAAAGTGACAACTGAAAAATTTTTAAGTGGATTAAACCAAAGTTCGCATAAATTCAGAGTCAAAAGTTTATGCAGAGGATAATAAAGGCAAAGAAAATCAAAACACAGCAATCAACAACGACAGCAGAAGGAGTAGCAACAGCAATAAAAGACAGTCAACACACAAAAAGCAAAGAAACCATACACAAAATAATTAAGTGGAAATAAATTGTGGTTTGCCTTGCAACAAACAAGAGTAGAAGAAGAAGCAACAGTGGCGGCGGCGTCAGCCAACTAACAACATATTTCAACTGTAGTGGAAATTTCAAAGCAGCAAAGAAAAAATAACAAAAAAGTTACAGCAGCAGCCACACATACGCGCGCACAGCCAGACAGACAAGGTGGTGGAACAAGTTTTGCAGTGAGTGCTCTTAAATAGCTGTGAACAAAATTGTTGTGCTGCTCTTAAGTTTAATAAAATTAAAAAATTAAAAAGGAACACACAAAAAGGCAGCAGCAGCGGCAACAATAACCGCTTAAAAGTGTAAGAAGTTAAGATATTTTGTAAAATAAAAGTTTTCAAAACTGATACAAGTTCAAAAAACGAAAAAGTAGCATAGAAATTGCTGCAAAACTTGCCGGATTCTTACAAAAGTCAGTTGAGAAGTGCTCGTGCTCCTATTATGTACACACACACATCAAACTAGCAGTGGCCAAAAATTACCTAAAAAAAGTTTTAAGACCACTGGATAGGGTGAACTCACTATAGCGGCAAATTACCACACGCCAAGTTTCGCAACAATAAAGTCGCCACTGCAGACTCGACAAACTTAACGGCCACTGCAAGCGAGTACCGAGCACCAACAGAAGCAGCAGACATTAGTAGCAGCAAAGCGGAATATTTTCTGCGAGAAATTCAATTAAAAGTCAAAGCAGGTAAAGAAGTGTGGACGCAATAAAAACGCTAAAACAACAGAGCAATAAAAAACAGACGAAGGTGAGACAACAACACTTGTTGTAGTACGTTAACCTACCCGCAAGCAATCAAAGCGAAAAGGTATTGCAACGCAACGCAACGCTGTAAAAGTAACATCAGCAACAATTACAAAAACCAAAAAACAAACAAAATGACCTTGCCCACAACAACAACAGTGAATGGTTGCGAAGACGATTCCGATATGTTTGGCCCGCCACGTTCCTCACCGCCCATCGGCTATCATCATCATCGTTCGCGTGTACCAATGATATCGCCAAAGTTGCGTCAACGTGAAGAACGTAAACGCATATTGCAATTGTGTGCACACAAGTTGGAGCGCATCAAGGATTCGGAGATGAATCTGCGTCGCAGTGTTTGCATTAATAACACCTATTGCCGGCTAACCGATGAGCTGCGACGGGAGAAACAGTCACGCTATCTAGCGAATTTACCGAGGTGAGTACTCATACACAAATATGTATGTACATATATGTAGATTATTTAGTTTGTATATAGGATTTCAAGTTTATGAGAGGGATGACTTAACGATGGAAAAGTTTGTTAAGTGGTGGCAACTGCTACGAGTAGCTTTACTACAAAGCAAAAAGTGATTAAGTGAATGAATCAAGTGATTTAGAAGTTGAAAAATGTAAGATGGCCAATAAAAATTTTATAAAGTAATGAAATAGAAGCAAATAGGTACCAAAATGAAGAGAAGATAGGTACAAAATGAAAAATAGATATGAAAACAAATTTACTGAAAGAAATATTCATATTAAAATTTTAACAACGAAATAAATAAAATTAAGTGAAATTCGATAAAATTAACAAAGTGAAAAATAAAACAAAATATCGTAGTTGGTGACCGTCGAAATATCAGCAACATATAGTTTACGACAATTAAAATTATCGCTTTTTATTTGTCGACCAAAGAACGAGCCAACCTTCATGTTAAAATTCTGCAAATAGAGATCAGGCATGTCATATTGTTGAGTTTGAAGTGGAAAAGGGAGTGAAATATGGCCGTCGGATTGAATTGGCTATTGAACCAGCTGTTACCTACATTAACTAACTACATATAACCAAATCCAAGTATAAACAAGTTTTGTAAACTTATCCTGTTTTTAAAAGCATATCCCTATGGATTAAATATAATAGTTTTGCATCTTATACAAAAATTAGTACCTGGCACATCACGAAAGGGTTAATGCTCCTATGCTTAACGCCTTACAAAACGCTCTTATGCTTGGCTCATAACAAGCTGGTCAACTCTCTTATGTGCGGCTTATCACACTCGTAACGGCTAAACCAGCTTGGATGCTTGCCGCATCGATATCTAAACTCCACTCCCGGAATAATTTTGGAATCCGGAAATGAGCCCTATCAGTTTGTTTCACACGGTTCGCACTAATTGAGTATGCCTCTGATGACATTTTGTCAAAAGAACATGATATTCATCCTTGCAAATCAAATTACTTAACTAAAAATGATTTAGAATTTCCCAAATGACATACCTTTATAAAAGTAATTTTTATGTAAATACCTATTGACACAAGTCTTGGAAAAACTGGAAACTTTGTCTGAACCCTCTAGGTTGCAACGAAATCAATTTCGAGTCATTTGTTTTTTTATTAAGACACTTAAGTTCAAATACCAAATTATTTAATAACAAAACACAAGCATTAACACTTCCTCCCATAGAACACTCAATGAAATGGAAAATACTAAAAAAATTTGGTGCTTCTCTCATTTTTAAATACCCACTTCCAGCAACGATTGAGGCAAGTAATTTTTCAACCTCGAAATTACTTGCACTTCCTCCTTCTTAAACCCGCCTCCCCATTCTTTACTACAACATAATCCACATTTTTGCCAATTTTTTTTATGAAAAACAATTATCTCTACTGTGCGCTACTGTCCGCCGCCGCTTTGTACTTGTAAAAGCTATTTTTCTCTATCGAATTACGGGCGTTTATTTTCTCGAAGGCACGCATAACCCAATGGGCCACGGACATGAATACGCATTTTTCCCAATAAAACTACCTCGTCTCTATTTAACACCCCAAGAGCTGACGCGCGCCTCCTCCTTCTGCACGAACGCCAGCCAGCACACCCCACGTCACACAACGCTGATGACTTATTCATCGTTGTATTTATCGGCATACGAAAGTGTGCACAATCACACAATTGGAAAAACGAAAATTACAGCAGCAAACAACATAGCAGATACAAGCGGGCAAACATATAAATGAATTGTAAATGCGGATATACGCCGCGCTGACTGCCTAACTGGCTGTTTGGCTGAATGACTCGGCCGTTGTCTGTCTATCTGCCTTGCTGAACAGAATATCAACTCTGCTGAGTCCGCTTAGCCGAGCTCGAGCGCCTGCTTGGTCTACCTTGCCTGCGCGCGCTGAGTTGCCGCGTTGTACGTTTTCCCCCAGTTGTGTGTGCGCGCTCACTGGCTGCTGTGCAATGTTATGCTTTTGTTGTTGTTGTTGCAGTTTACGCCGTGCGACAATTAACAACTCGCGCGCACAAGTCAACTAAATAATAATAAAATACAAAATGAGAAAATATCAACGGTTGCCGATACGTGCGCGCGAGTGTACCAACTAACACGCTTGCAAGTACATTTTTCCATAAATATGTCCATACATATGTATGTATGGTGTTTGAATTGAATCGAGTGAATCGTTTCATTCTGCTAAAATTAATTGTACAGTCGTAGCATATAAAAGTTTTTCGGGACGCTCTCATTTGGTTGATTTGTATGATTTTGGCCTCTTTTCGAGTTTCCTTTTCCCTTTTTTCGAATTCTTCCGTGCGCCTGAAAATTTTCGTGCCTTCTTCGATTTTTTGTTCGTTTTTATTTGTCTTGCTGGTTTAACAGTTTCTTAGCTGAATTGTAAATTTTTTTTAATTTTTTTCCTTTTAGCTATGATTGTGCAAAGCGTATCTATGCAACTGCCTTAATGTGCGTGAAATTTTGTCTCCTTAGCGGGTCGGTTTTTGTGCAACTTTTTTTTTACATTTTATGTCATCCAGTCTTATTTTTTCGCCATTTGCGCTGCACCTTCATTTTGCTTTTTCTTTTGTTTTTCTATTGCTTCTCTTTAACCATTTAAGCTGCTCAGCTATGCGACAATTATGTAGATACAATGGCTAGCTGACGCGACAAGGCATTGATTTGCGATTTGTATAAAGATACGATTGTTTGTTATAAATGATACAAAAATATAATCGCTTTGCGCTTAAAACTTTTTACAGTGACTTAGACCCTGTCGCCATGCCGTTTTGCTATTCAACTTTTGCATAAATAAGCGACACTATAAATACATATGTACATACAAACATATGTATGTACTTATGTGTGCTCGTCCATACATACATACATCCATACTTACATATGCATTCCTTATCTGCTTGGTTTCGTTAATTACTTGTGCAGTTTTTGTACTCAATTTATTTTCCAATCTAATTTATTTACACATTTAAAAATTTTTTTTTTTTGCTATTTTCTTTGCCATTTATTAAATTTATAACATCATTTGCTGCTGTTCATATTCTAAGAATTATTCAAAAACATTTAGTTAGATGCTCACGCGCGCATACATACGCGTGCATCGTACATATGAAAAATACAAACGAGCATACAGTACTCGTATGAATATAAATTTGTCTTGGCTATTTGTGCATTTATTTATAACACAATTTGTAATTTTAGTGGGAATTCCTCATTTTGCTACCCGGAAAATTTGAAATTTATTGTCTTACATACAAACAAATTTACTTAATACTTTTAATTTTTTTATTATAAATTTTTTTGTATGTTCAATGCGCATATGGGTGTACATATGTATGTATATAGTATATTCAAATGAACTGTAAATTGCATTCGCCCATTGAGTGGGTCACAGAAAAATATGCACATAAATAAAAATAAGACCAAAGCAGCGTCGGTGAAATGATAACAAATGTGAATTTCTAGAAATACTCGAGTCTTCGCGGAATTGTTTTCATATAGAAATTGAGTGATTACGTTAAATATTATAGAAGCGAATTGAAAATTAAAAAAAAAAAAATCTGCCTTATACAGAGTTTCGTTGGAAAAAATTCACCCGAAAATTTTTCATCCGCCTATAGTAAATCCATGGAAACCAAAAGTGAAAAGTGAACCGGTTCGGGGAAAATGAAACGCATGTAATGCTGAATATGTTTTTTAAAATCGTCATAATTTTCTGACGTAAAAAAACGACTAAAAACTAAAAATTCTAAATTAATGCAGGTCGGTTTGAAATATACCTTCTGGTGGGGATACAGTAATTGGTTAGTCACACTTTATTAGCCTTATATCCATACACCATATAAAACGATTGCACAGGGCTACAGGTGGAGGATCTGGGAGCTAAGTTTATATATAAGTTTTGGTTTACTGTTACGACTTCCAGGGATATAGCTTCCATGGGACCGTTGAAATTATTTCTCTCCGCTCGCTCACGAAAATCTATCTTTACGATTTTAGTGTAACAACGAATTAATTTCATTCACTTATGCTTTGTTTCACTTTTTTGAAAAAAAAACTACTGAAAATGTGGTAACAAAAACTTTGTTATATAATAAATATGTATATCTTCTTTTAAGAAATTTTACTTCAAAAATGTGATCACAAAAATTTTGTCACTTAAAAAAAAATTGTAAAAAATGTGTTCAAAAATTTTATTTATTGCAAATTACTTCAAAAAGTAAGTTAACTTAAAACAGTGATTTCATGAATTGTATGTAATAAAAATTTCAATAACAATTCGTTTTTACAAAAATGTGATACCAAAATCATCTAAAGCACGACAAAAATGTCTTCTTTTAAAAATTAAATAAAAATGTGATGATAATTTTTAATCTAAAATCTGATGACAACAATTTTATGCATTTTATTAAAGTATTTCTTGTAAAATAGTTTAACACATAAACGTAAACATAAAAATTTCACTCTGTATCCAAACTAAACCACTGTAATTTTAACAAATTTAGTACAATTCGAAAAAAAATTTTACTGCCGTTTTTTAAGACCTAAATTTTCACGTTTGAGGACACAAACCTTGCGGCTTTAAGCGATAACTTTTGCGATTTAAATAATTCTTAAAAAATAAAAGCTTTAACATTTCCGGACACGCAATCAACTTGAAATTAAACGCACACACACATGCATACCAGTACATACCCCACTCACTGCACAACTTACCTCGCCTTATAGTTAACCGCACTTGCCAACTCAAAATGCGTGACAGCAACAACGAAACACACTTTCGTTTGTATAGCGCGAAACAACAAAGACAACAACAGAATACAATAACAAAAACAGAAAGAGGCTTAAGAAAATATGTTAAAAAGCGCACAGTTGGCATGAAAACAAAAACAACAATAAACTATTTAATAACGTAATGATTACAACAATC